CACATATTAAGTTCAAAATTTAAATGTGAGAGATGTGTTATAGTATAATATAAAATGCTAAACTGGTCTTTTCTTATCAATTTAGATTTTTGGATACGGCAACCTGACTTTATTATTCCAAACTTGTGTATCAGTAGTGCGTTGGTATGCTGGATTTGAATAATGTACTGTAGGTTCCTACCGTAGTCTGCTATAGGAGAACATCTTCACATTTTAACAGATTGGAAACAAGACCTGGATTCAGTCTCTTCTTATCTTATCTGGACCACCTAATTTAAGCCTGTATGCAACAGGTAAATAAAATGTGTGGTAAGCTAAGAGGTTTACATTAGAAGGTGAAATGATTGAAAATCATCTTTCATATATTTGTGAACTTGTGGATCATGGATTATTATGAAGACAGTTGATATTTGTAAGCAATGCAGCTGAGTTATGCATGATAAAATGAATTTTGTCTACTAAATTCTTCTACACAAATGTATGATTCCTGGTAAAGCAATGGTTTTTTGTTTTTTTGCTCTTCTCCTTCCTGTTGCTTGTCATTTAATTGATCCCAATAAAGATTTCAATTGAGCAACTGCAGTTCTTCATCTTTTTCAACTGTCAGTGTTCACAATATCCAACATTTTCACTTCCCTTTTGAATCTCTGTTGAGTGGATATTCTCAATTCTCTCAAGTGTTTTACTATGATGGTCTATCTACAGCTCCCAGAGCAATGGAGAAATCAAAGAACCGGAACTAGTCAAACGTGAAGCTGCACAGGTGGGAAGAAAGAAGGAAGATCCCAGAAGAGAAAAATGCAAATAGAAGGATGGTTTGAAGAAGTATAGCAACTCCATGGTTGAGATTTGTAACCTCTCGTACCTATGTTTTGGTTGGCATGAAAGTTGATGTTAGTTTATGTTTTGTTTTAAAATTGCCGTGATTATTGTAGAACATTTAATTAAGAAAACTAGTGCTTGTGAAGTTTACTATATAATATTTATAGGAAACTTTAAGTTGTTGTTGGTCATTTTATATGTTCTAACTTGTATGCTTGAAAATCAATGTTTCTTTGTTAAAGTACTCTGGGGACTCTGGGTGCAGCATGATAAATTTTTGTTCTTTAGTTTGTTACTAAGATTGAAATTTGATGAGGCTCCTCGTTGTTTCTTACCACTCATTGGCAGCTGTGAAGGAGCAAGGAGTGAAGTCTTTGTGGCTCTGCCTCCCGTAACTTGG